CTACTCAAAAGAGTATTAAAAAGGCTACTCAAAAGAGTATTAAAAAGACTACTCAAAGAAAAATTAGATATCGTTTACCTATAGGAGGTTCATATAAAACAGGGGTCCCCAACCACCAGTCCGCAGACCGGTACCGGTCTGTGGATCATTTGGGACCAGGCCGCCTACTTTGCTTCGGTGCCATCTTGTTCCGACATATCTCACCGACACGCGGCTACAGGCTACTCAGGTGAGCAGCAGGAAAAGGGAGCTGGGCAGCCACAGACCAGCTGTCTCTCTGTCTGACGGCCTCGGCCGAATCTCTGCCTCCCAGCGTGCTTGGTCCTCTGCCCGCAGGCTTCTCCGGCCCCTTGCCAAGTGGGTTTTCCACCCCAGCCTAGCAGGGTCCTCTCTTCCTTCCCCTCGCCTGGCCAGCTGGGCTCCTTGGGCAACCCGGCTGCCTCATGCCGAGAAGCGCGCTGCCAGGCGGGGGTCATGCGGCGCAGGGCAACACGCTACCGCCCGGCCCTGGCAAGGGAAAGCAGCAGGTGCCCCCTGGGCGGCGGCCGTCTCTCCGTCTGATGGCCTTGGCCGAATCTCTGCCTCTCAGCACGCTTGGATCCCACTAGAATGGGTGAAGACAAAATATTTGGGCTGTAGATATTTTCGAAGAAGGGTAATGTGTGGAAATGAGTGGGAAAGTGTAGCTATCTGTTTAACATTTTTAAAGTGAAGAGCAGTGTTTCTCAATTTTAAGAAGTCCGGAATGCTGTCTGGGTAATTTTGGGAGTTGAAGTCCACATAATCTTAAAATTGCTGTAGTTGAAAACACTGGATAGGCAAAGGGTTTCTTTGCACTTACATGTTTAGTGCAATCCCTACTATATATATATGACAAATCTTTAAAATGTGTGGACTTGGGCTCTCTGAATTCCCCACACACCTTACAATTGTTGAGATTGTGGAAAGCTGAAGACCATGTGGGAGATCAAACCCATCCTAAATGTAAAATCTGAATTGCAGATTACTACCTTACAAAACGCTTTTGGAGAAAAAATATATGTTGCCAAACATATATTTTTGTTTGATCATGATCAACTGAATCATGATGACTTTATTGGAGTCTAGTCTTGCATTTATACACATTTTTAGTAATCCTCCAACATTGGTTAATTTTGGTGAGTTGATAGTGTAATAGTAAATAAAATAAAAAATATAAATAAATAAAAAATAAATAAATAAATAACCCTAACCGGTCCTTGAAAAAGTGTTTCTGCGTGAAACTGGTCTCTGGTACAAAAAAGGTTGGGGACCACTGATATAAAAGATCAACATAGGGACTGTTTAGAATTCCCCAGGCTAGGGAAGTTATATACCTCCTTAGCAAAAAACAAAGAAAGAAGGATAGCAGTATATATAAAGGCAAGTCTAGAAACAAAGTTAAAATATTCAGATGAGAATGGAAGGATCTTGATAATTAAATTACGGATTGGACAAAAATTAATGATATTGGTAGTAATATATGCCCCAAATGAAAACCAAAAAGAATTTTACAAGACATCACATGAAAATATTGTAGGGATAGAATATGATAATAAATGTGTTATATGTGACTATAATGCTGTGGTAGACCCAAGGAAAGACTATACAGGGAATCTGGCTACAAAGAAAAGGAAAACATTACCAACCACCTTTTTTGAAATGACGCGAGAATTAAATTTGGTGGATCAATGGAGGAAGATAAATCCTAAAAAACGGGAATACACTTTTTATTCAAATCCCCATAAATCGTGGTCCCGTCTGGATATGGCCTGGATGAACAGAAAATTAGGAAATGAGGTAGATAAGATAGAGATTATGACAAACACATGGGCCGACCACAATCCATTAATAATAATTTGGAAGAGATATGAAAAAAAAGTAAGAAGGTGGATGTTAAATTCTCAAATTTTAAATGAAAGGAGACAAAGGCAGGAAAAATTAACAACAGAGATTAGAGAATTAAAGTATAAGCTACAAAGAGAACCTCAAAATGAAGGAGTGAAAATTGATATGGTTTTAAGTTAAACATAAATTAAATATGGTAAATCAAGAGGAGAGGGTGAGAGACCTAAAAGCGGCAAAACAAAATTACTTTGAACATGTTAATAAATCGGGAAGGTGGCTAGCCCATAAATTAAAAAGAGAAAGAGAAAAAAAGATGATCCAGGAACTGGAAGATGAGGATGGAGAGATACAATATAAAATGACAGAGAAAAAGAAATTAATTCAAAACTATTTTGAAAAATTATATGAGGAAGAAAATATAAATGTGAATAACATATAAGAATACTTACAAAGATATGGCTTGGCAGAATTAAGAGAAGACCAAAGGGAAATATTAAATAGAGAGATAACACCCACGGAATTAGAAAGAGCAGTCTTTTGTTTTAAAGAGTAACAAGACTCCGGGGCCAGATGGAATTCCGGCAGAGGTATACAAATGTTTGTATGAATGCTTTGGAGATGTATTGTTGGGAGTGTACAATGATGTATTGGAATCATCGAAAATACTGGATTCATGGTCCAAAGCTTACATTTCTCTTATGCTTATGATTTATACTCTCTTTTGGAATATCAAAAATTATAGGCCAATCTTGCTGTTAAACGCTGACTTTAAAATCTTTACCACTATAATGGCAGAAAGATTGAAGTTAGTGCTAAATAAAATAATACACTCAGACCAGAACATTTCTTTTGCCAACGAGACAAATTAGAAACAATATAAGAATAGTTTAGGACATTTTAGAATATTATGGGAAACAGGTAGCACTAATCTTTCTGGATGCACAAAAGGCATTTGATAACCTTAATTGGCAGTTCTTGATCCAACAAATTAAAAATTTAAGATTTGGAACTAAATTTGAAAATATGATTAGGACAATATATATGGCAAGCAAAAAGCTAGAGTGATGGTAAACAGATTGTACTGAAACATTTGAAATTAAAAAAGGAGTATGACAAGGATGTCCTATGTCACCTCTACTTTTTATATTAACAATAGAAGTGCTTCTAACCAAAATAAGGCAAAATGAGGAAATAACAGGATTAAATATTAAAAATCAAGAATACAGCATTCGCAGACGATTTAGTGTTTTTTATTGAGGAACTGATGGAAACAGGGACAAATTTGCTAAGGGAAATTGAACAATATGGATTAGTGGCAGGACTAAAAATTAATAAAGAAAAAACAAAAATGGTAGTAAAAAATTTAACAGAAAAACAAAAAAGGGGATTAGAAAGAGAATTGGGACTTCAAGTGGAGAAAAAGATTAAAATATTTAGGGATATGGCTTACAGGTCGATGTTTGACTATAAAGGAAGACAATTACAAGAAATTGATGTCACAATGTAAGAAAGATTTAGAGAGCTGGAAAAAGTTGCAAATATCGTTGATGGGCAGAATTGCCACAATAAAAATGAATATACTACCAAAATTCTTATACTTTTTTCAGACAATTCCTATAAAACTGGACTGAAAATTCTTTGAAGACTTGAATAGAATGGTGCTTACATTTATTTGGTTAGGAAAGAAAGCACATATTAATATAAAAATGCTACAAGATAATAGAAGTAGAGGTGGCCTAGGACTCCCCAAATGGGAACTATATTATTAGGTGCGGCAGTGCTCTGGATTAAAGATTGGATAAATTTAAATAATAAGAGGATATTAGTATTAGAGGGACATAATCTCCATAGAGGATGGCATGTCTTTTTTGTGGGACAAATGGGAAAGGATCCATTCGTATTTTTACTGGCATCAAATTAGAGAGCCATTAATAACAATATGGGAAAAAATTAAGGAAGATGCACAACATCAAATTACCGGATTGGGTATCACCAATAGAAGCAGTGATTTACAACAGAGAACAAAAAGAAGATTAGATACAAGGAATTATTGGATAATTGGGAATTTAAAAACAACGTAAAAATTAAAACAAGGTATAATTGTGGATTGGTGGCCATACATGCAGATAAAAACTAGACATAAAAAGGTACGGAGGAATTTGGAATAGAGAGGGAACCCCAAAAATTAGACCAAATTTTCATTTGGTAAAGAAGAAAAATTTATCACTAGAACTTATAACTTTTTACTCCAAGTAGAAGTGGAGGAAGAAGTAGTTAAGGGCCCAATGATTGCCTGTGCACAAAATGTAGGTCATAGCATATACCTAGAAGATTGGGAGAGAATTTGGATCAAGCAAATTAACATTATCAACAGCATATAAAGAAAAGTAATCAAGATGTTTTATAGATGGCATTTGACACCGGCGAGATTGGCCAAAATATACCCTAATATGAAAGCGCAATGCTGGAAATGTAAGCTAACAGATGGAACATACTATCATATGTGATGGCAATGCCCCAAAAGTTAAAAAATACTGGGAAAAAATGAAAAAAATGAAAAAATTACAGGGTACAACATTGAATTTAAGCCAGAAGCTTTTTTGCTGGGGATGATTAAGGGAAACCGAAAGAAACATATCCAATACATCATACAACATATATTAACGGCGGCAAGAATTGCTTATGCCCAAAGCTGGAAAAAGACGATGTACTTTCAGAAAATATCACAAATGAAATACTTGAATGTGCCGACTGACAAGAAAATTAAAAGGTAAAGAAGAGTCTTGAGTTCTGTGAGGTTTGGGAAATGTTATATATATGGTAAGAAAAGAGAAATAAGGTTTGATATGGAGAAGAATTGTAAATATTGTATCTAAGTATATAAGTAATGCTTGACACAGAACTGTTAAAATGAAAATTGTAGATGTATTTTGAAAATAAATAAAATTTAAAAAATATTTTTTTAAAAAAAGATGAGCTTTGGTCGAATCTTGAGTCCTGAAAAGCTGCACATACAGCTTGGAGCATGATGGAATCCACAACTTCCAGCTGATCACATGTAGCTCCAAAAATAACAGCTTCTGCTATCAGTTCGTATAAATCAGCTGCCCAATGTACATGGGGGCAGACATTGGTTTTCACCTCAGCAGAAGCATCTCCAAGTATAACACGTTTCTATATCTGCAGGAGATTTAATTATCATATTTTGCCTGTTTTCAATAGATTAGTGCATAGATCAGGACATCATTTGAAAATATATGACAAAGTAAATTATTGCATCTATTTCAGCCAGCAATAGTTCGGCTCAGCTATAAATTATCTAATTTATAGCTGAGCAAGTGTAAAAGTGGTTGGAAGCAGTGTTTTTTATTCTTGCAATTTTATGACGTCAGGTTGTGAATGACGAGTCCAGAATCATCCACTGAATTGCATGCTTTACTAAGGATATGAACCCTGACTTCTTTAGGGTTCATACATATGCATTGTGACTACCATAGCATATTGACTTTCCATTTCTTACATATAACCTAAAGACCTAATCTGTCATTTAAAAAATATAAATATTTGATTTTGTTTTGCAGCAAAAGATAAAGGAGAAAAGAAGCTCTTTGGCTTTGCATTTACACCATTAATGAGAGATGATGGCACTACTCTATCTGATGATAATCATGAGCTTTATGTTTATAAGGTACTATTCTTCATTTTTTGTATTTCTATCCTTCCATGCTTATATCCTCTCTTTGGCTTATATTTAATGTCATAAATACATTTGCTTGACTAGGGTTTTGGATTAGAAGATCTCTAAGGCCCCTTCCAACTCTGTTATTCTGTTCCATAAAAGTTTGCAGTTTTGGAAATCTAAAAATGTTGACAGTTTTAACTTTTCTAAATAAACAGTCAAAACAGTTAGTAATTATGAAAAAGTATCACTCAAATCTCTGTTCATTTTTTCTTGTTTTATACTATAGCCATCTGAGCACATTATTAACACAAATTAAAAAAAGGTTCCTTATTCACCATTTTGCAGTGTTCTGTTACTACTTTTGGATAAAACAGAGTACCCTACACAGATTCTGAAAAAAATACTCCATTTAGCAGATAACAATATTTTGATTTGAGTATCTAGAATAGATATTTAGAATCTTTTACAGGTAAAATAAATGAAAAAATGTTTCATTTTGGAGTCACAGGGATACATTTTAATCCTTGTGAAAACTGAGATAAATTACTAATTCTGATTCTGATATTTAAAAGGAATCTAATTCTAATGAAAGATATATGTAACTTTTTGATTATTATAAAAATAAAGATTTTCTAAATGATGTAATTAATAAATAAAGGCTGTACGCATTTGTAGGTAGAGCATGAACATGAATAGAATCAGTGTATATATAATATAACATAACAACATAAAATATAACAAATTCAATAATTTATTTTCTTTTGTCTCCAGTGTGATGAAAACAGCACTTTCAATAACCATGCACTTTACTTGGGTCTTCCATGCTGCAAAGAAGATTATAATGGTTGTCCCAACATCCCTTCAAGCTTGATTTTTCAGCGCAGCACCAAAGAGTTTTTTTCAATCTCTACTCAGCTGTCTTCTACCAAACTTACCCAGAATGGTACAGCAATTTTTTATTCCAAGAATTAATAAGACAGAGGGATGATTCATAGTGTACCTTTTCAATAAAACAATATAGTCTTACTTACTTACAAATTGGATACAGGCAGAACAGAAAAAGAAGCAACAATTCTCTCCTGTTGTCCTTGATTCCTGGTGATTACATGGATATGTCCATATAGTTTTCCTGACAAAAAAAATCAATATGACTGGGAATTTTTTCTTCAGTTACCCTAGCCTATAGCATTGGAATTTCCTACTGATTTCCCTTCCAAGTATAAATTTCATCCCATCCTACCGAGGGTTTTTTCCAAGATCAACCAACTTGTCTAGATGCTGCCACCTACTGTAATTATATCAAGCATTTCCAGACATTCCTACAATATTTATTAAAATAAAGTTGTTTAGACAGCATTTTTGAATCTGGATTAGTACCTATGCCGTTATGTCTTAGTTATGCAATATAAAAGGCACTGCAGTTTATTCAGTATAAAATTAAATATAATAAAGTGCACTTTCATTTGAATTAATATGTTTCTGGTTCACATACTTTGAAAACAAGAGAGCATTTAAATTGAACTTACAAGTATTAATTAGTTGTGTCAAATAGTTTCTCAAATTATTTAACAAATATATTTTATATTTTGTTCATGCCCAGGACTAAATGATCTTCATGAAAATCCATAAAAATTGCTATCAGTATATTCAGAGTGCTTTAGATAATGGTACTATTATTTATGTACTTATTTATATATTAATTCCTTTCTACTATATACAGTGGACCTGCTTGCTCTTCTGAAATGGAAAGCATATCCAGATCGTATAATGGATATTTTAGGAAGACTGCGCCAAGTCAACGGTGAAGAAATTGTTAAGGTATTGAATTTGGTCTAAGCTATTATTAACAAATTAATTACAATGACTAATCATTTTTAGGGGGGAAATAAAAAAGTGATTAATACTTGTATTTATCAAAATATAAAATCTCAGTGTGATTACCGTAATCATAAATTTAACAGATTTAACAGATGATCAGAGTTGGAAGGGACCCTGTAAGTCATCTAGTCCAACCCCCCACCCAAGCGGGAGACCCTACACCATTTCTGACAGATGGCAGTCCAATCTCTTCTTGAAAGACTCCAGTGATGAAGCTCCCACAACTTCCAGGGGCAAGCTGTTCCATTAGTTGATTGTTCTCACTGTCAGAAAGTTTCTCCTTATTTCCAGGTTAAATCTCTCCTTGTTCAGTTTCCATCCATTATTCCTTGTCTGGCCTACAGGCACTTTAGAAAATAGCTTGACCCCTTCTTCCTCCCTGTGGCAGCCCCTCAAATATTGGAAGACTGCTATCATGTCTCCTTTTACTAGACTAGCCAAGCCCAGTTCCTGCAACCATTCGTTGTATGTTTTAGCCTCCAGTCCCCTAATCATCCTGGTTGCTCTTCTCTGTACTTTTTCGAGAGTCTCAACGTAAGAAGTGATATGTCAACTTCTCTTCTTAAATGTAAGAAGTGATATGTCAACTTCTCTCCATTATTTTATGAACTAAAATAATATGGAGGAACTGAACTATTTCAAATCTTCTTTCCCTGCTGCATTTAAAAAAAATAATACTAGTATTGTCAGGCCTGAAAATGATACAGTGACATCTAGTCCAATTCTTGTATTTGCTTCGATTTAATAGAAAGAATTTTGCCAGATTAAAACTATAACCTTCTAACCTAATAGATACCCTGAGAGATTCCAGGTATGGCCACTCTAAAAATTCTTCCTCCCATCCCCAGACAATTGGAGTGCACAGTCATTTATTCTGGGCTGGAGCGTACAGTCTCCTCCTGGAGAAACCATGGTATTCTTGCCAAGATCCCTTCCCCATTCCTTCTCCAGGTGCACTTTTCATCACACGTATTGAAAATGTGTGAGATAGTATTAATAAGACTAACAAATAATGCATTCCTTACATAGTCTTTTTGAAAATATCTTTGTGTTTTATTCTTTTCATACCACAAAATGCCATCCCAACTGAAGATCATGTCCTTCCAAACAATAGTAATCTATGTCTGAGATTTATCTACTCTTTCACCCACGTTAATGCAGAAGCCTGGTAATAAAGCTCCCAATCCAGCAACCCAAAGCCCCTGTTATTTTTAGATTCTTGCAACATTTTTAATCTTATTCTTGCTCTTTTTCCTTGCCAGACATATTTCAAAATTATTGTAGCTAAGTCATCAAAATATTTCGTCTCTAGTTTCATAGGAATCGTCCAAAAGAAAAAAAGTAACTTTGATAGAATATTCATTTTTATAGTTGCTATTCTTCCTATCATTGACAATTGTAAGTTTTTCCAATTCTCCAAGTCCAATTTAATTTGTTGTATTAGTCTTGTATAGTTATCTTCTTTAATTGTTGCCTTTTTTATGTTAAAATTCTCAGTTAAGTCCTCATTAACTATCACTTTTGCCCTTTGTTTAGAATAAATTGTCTTGATCATGTTTCTAAACTTCTCATCATGCAGTCTAGTTGTTGTAGCATAAATTGCCAGTTTACATTGTCAAAAGCTTTCTCTGTGCCTAAAAAAATTAGCGACATTTATTTTTCAGAATGCTCTTCATAGTAATCCAGCATATCTAAAATCAATTTTACATTGTTTTTAATTTGACTTTTTGGTAAAAATCCATTTTGGTCTGGGTGGATAAATTCATTAAAAAATCTTTTTAATCTCTCTGCTATTATCAATGCAATGATTTTATAGTCTGCATTTAATAGTGAAATAAGCCTATAATTCTTTGTCTGTGTTGAATCTGAATTTTCTTTCGGGATTAATGTACTATTTGCTTCTATCTAGGTATTTGGAATCTTAGCTTCTAGCAATACCTCATTGTAAACCTCAAACATTGAAAGACTTAGTGTACCCTGTAGATGCTTGTAAAATTCTGTGGGTAGTCCATCTGGTCCTGGTGTTTTATTATTTTGTCTTTTTATCGCCTCTGTCAATTCCATCATCATTATTCTTTCATTTAGCATAACATTCACATTGTATTGCTTTTTCTTTTCCTCCGAAATTTTTTCATGATCGTATAATTTTTCATAAAACTCCTGAATTATTTCCATTTTAATCTCATTTTGATACTGTAAATTTCCTTTCTCATCTTGTAGTTTGCTTATCAATTTCTTTTCTTTCTCCTTTTTCAGCTTATATGCTAGCCATCTTTCTGGTTTGTTGGCATTTTCAAAAAAGTTTAGTTTTGCTCTTTTAATTTGTTGTACCAGTTCTTATTTTTCTATTAAGTTCAACTTATGTTTTATTATTTCCATTTGATTTTTTTAAACTTTCCTTTTGCAGCTCTTTTTATAGTTCTAGTTTTTTATGTTCTTCTAAGGTCTTTTGATATTGTTTTTTTTCTTCTCGCTATGTAAGTTATAGCTAGTCCCTAATATATGCTTTAGCTGTGTCTTCTTTTTTGTTTTCCTTAAGGAAGCATTCCATTTCTTTTACTGTTGTTTGTATAAATTCTTTTTCTTTTAATATAGATAGATTCAATATCCACCTTGACCTTTTCTATTGTCCCTTCCAACTAATTTTATTGGGTTATGGTCAGCCCATATATTGATTTCTATATCTTTTGCACATTAATTCTTAATTCTGGCGACATCCATATCGTATCAATTCTAGGCCATGATTTGAGCCTATTTGAATAAAATGTGTACTGGTTTTTCCCTGGATTCATTTCTCTCCATAAATCCTATATACAGTTTTTTTCTGCCATTTTGAAAAAGGCCCTATTTTCCTTGTTTTTCCCCCTGATTTGCTACTTTTGTAGTCAAGTTTTGCATCTACAATTGCATTGAAATCTCCTATCATATAAATATTTTCATATTCCTTTTCTTTTATCTTCTTTTTTTTATAAAATTCTTCTTGTTTGTTGTTTGGCGCATATATTGCTATCAAAAGTATCTGTTTCTGGTTTGTTGCTACCTCCACCATCAAAATTCTTTCTTCTTCGTCCGTATAGATTTGTTTGGAATTTATTGTTTCCTTAATACATAAGGCTACCCCTTTTTTCTTTTGTTGTGCTGATGTGAAATATAGTTTCCCAATTTTAGGACACTCCAATAATTTACTGTGTTGTTTTTTAATGTGAGTTTCTTGGAGGCAAATTATATCTAATTTTAATTTAGTAATCGTGTGTAAATATTTTTCCTTTTCATGGAGGAGTTCAATCCTTTTATATTAATTGACAACATCTCAGTTTCCCCTTCCATCTCCTTCACTTATATATAGGTCTTATTCTCCTAGTTGTTCTTTTTTGACTCTGGTCTTTTGCTCTTGCTCCTTCTTGTTCTGCTTTCTCGGCTTTACTTTCTTCTTGCTGTATACTCCTCTCTTCTCTTATTGGTTCCTCTTGCCTCTCGAATTCCATTTCTCCTTTTGTTTCTTGTCCCTCATTTGTGCTGAAGTAGCTGTCATAAAATTCTATTGCTTTGACTAATGAATCCATTCTGTATCTTTTGCCATCCCAATTAACAAGTATTCCTTCTGGTACCAGCCATCTAAAATGTACATATCTGGTCAGCTTAGCAGTCAAAAATTGATATTGTTTCCATAAATCTCTTACCCATTTAGGAATCTGTTTCAGGACCACAATTTCTTTCCCTCTATATTGCAGTGGTTCATTTCTTGCCTTTTTTAGTATTTCATCTCTTGTTGATTTTTTGACAAATGTCACATGTACCTCCCTTAGTAGATTATGTCTCCTCACATAGTTCATATTTATTTTAAATATTTCATCTAGCACTACATCCATCTCTTTTCCTATCTCTAGGGCACTTGCCAACAACTCTCTCATCACTTTGGGAGGTCTTTTGTTATCATCTGCTGAAAGTTCCTTAGTCTCACATTCATTTTCTGAATCGTTTTTCATCTCACTATGAATGCTTAGTCTTAACGATCTGCACATCTGAGGTGAACAATGACAGCTAGGATTTTCTGGATTGCTGTTACTAAGTGATGCAGTCATATGATATCACATTTTATACCACATTGCTTAGTGGCAACAATCCCAGTTCCAACTGCAGTCATAACTCAATGACTAAAATTATCTATTTACAACAGATGTCTGGAAATGTCTGGATATTTGCCTCTCAGATTTATCCCTTGTTATTGAGTGGACTTGACTTGATAAAAAGGCTCATAAAACAAATTGAGGTCTAGAAGAATTTAACATTTATTCAGAATATCGGGTTTTGATTTTTCTATAGAGTATTGTACTTTAGAATTAAAAAGTAATAATCAATGTACTTCTTACAATGTCAGAAAATTATGAAATAGTTTGGTTTGGTAGAACATTCTGTAAAGAGATACTAAAAATCCCTGTGCTTTTCCAGTTCTTGCAGGACATTCTGGATACATTGTTTGTGATTCTGGATGATAACACAGAAAAATATGGACTTCTGGTCTTTCAATCTTTGGTAAGAACAAAATATTTCTGACAGATCAATATTCTGAGGCAAGATATGAAGGCACTTTCCCCACAATACTTTTCTAAAAATTAACACACTATTTCCTTTCTCTGCATTTCCAAATCTTCCTTAATACTTGTAGAACGACATCTATCATGGTACCTTTTTTGTTTTTAATTTTTATTTATTTATTTATTTTTATCCCACTTTTATTGTTTTCACAAATAACTCAAGGAATTGAACATATCCAATACAGCTTTCTTCTCTTATTTTCCCCACAACCCTGTCAGAGAAGTTGGGCAGAGAGAGAGAGAGTGACTGGCTCAAGCTCACCCAGCTGGCTTTCATGGCTAAGGCGGGAACAGAGCTCATGGTTTCATGCTTTCTAGTCTGGTGCTTTAGCCGCTAGAGCAACTGGCTATTTTGTTGATCCTTGTTTTCAAAAAACAAGGCAATGGCAATTTCCATGTGCTTCCTTGAATGCTAAATGTTTTGACCTCTGAACTTTGAAATGCTGAATAATTGTAATATGTTACCACTGGAAATGTTAGAATAGTTGCGCATTCTTTTGTTCTTAAATATTCAATATTCTCATGACTTTCTGTGAGTTAAATTTACTGATTTAGGCCCTCTGATGGTGAAGTTTGTACACCAACTACAGTCATATTGTTCTGTATGGCACATCATGAGAAAGGAGGAGCTAGATGAATCAAAAGTTGGAATTAAGATTGCTGGGAGAAATATCAACAACCTCAGATAAGCAGATGATACCACTCTAATGGCAGAAAGTGAAGAGGAACTAAAGAGCCTCTTGATGTGGGTAAAGAAGGAGAATGCAAAAGTTGGCTTGAAACTCAATATTAAGAAAACTAAGATCATGCCGTCCGGCCATCTCAATTCCTGGCAAATAGATGGGGAAGAAATGGAGGTAGTGACAGATTCTATTTTCCTGGGATCCAAGATCACCACAGATGGGGATTACAACCAAGAAATTAAAAGACGCTTGCTCCTGGGGAGGAAAGCTATGGCAAATCTAGACAGCATACTAAAAAAACAGATATCACCCTGCCAACAAAACTGCGTATAGTCAAGGCTATGGTTTTCCCAGTTGCAATGTATGGCTGAAGTTGGACCATAAGAAAGATGAGCACCAAAAAATTGAGGCTTTTGAACTATGGTGCTGGAGAAGACTCCTGCGAGTCCCTTGGACTGCAAAGTGATCAAACCGGTCAGTCCTAGAGGAGATCAACCCTGACTATTCTTTAGAAGGCCAGATCCTGAAGATGAAACTTAAAGACTTTGGCCTCCTAATGAGAAGGAAGGACTCACTGGAGAAGAGCCTAATGCTGGGAAAGATTGAGGGCAAAAGAAGAAGGAGACAACAGAGAATGAGGTGGCTGGATGGAGTCACTGAAGCTGTAGGTGTGAGTTTAAACCGACTCCAGAGGCTGGTAGAGGACAGGAAGACCTGGAGGAACGTTGTCCATGGAGTTGCAATGGCTCAGACACAACTTCGCAACTAACAACAACAACAACATGGCAATATACAAATAGCCTACATACCCTTAAGAAATATGTATATCTGAGCTAATGGTTAAACTAAGAATTTGTTTTAATTTGAGAACTGATTCCACTGTTTGTATTTGGCTGCCTAAATTGGGATTGAAGAATAGTTTTTGATTGTTAAAATCTAGAAATCAAACATCCTTGAAAATCTGCAAATTACTTTATTGTAGGTTTTGGCCATCCAATTTTAATAAGGACAAGGCAGAATATGAGTCTTGCTATTTCATTTTCCTTGATTAAAATCTAGAGAGCCAACAAGAATCTGTTTAGAAGACACTCTTAAATTAAAATATTCTTTTGATCAGTGTTTTAAATTCTAGGGCTGTTGTTTATTTTATATTCAACAGAAAAAAGTTTATTTGTGTGGAGCAAGCAACTGTCACCACTTTTTCAAAATAGCTGTATTTTTTTCTCAGAATCGTGCAGTAAAATAGAAATATAATCATTCCTTTCAATAATTTCAGTAATGACAAGATCTAATAAAAGGAACTTCACATAAAGTCATAGTGGCATCATACATAAATTTTAAAAAGGGGAAGGATTATTAAAATTCAGTGTTAAAAGTTAATTAAAACGTGTCCCATTCCCCAGCAGCAGCCCACTACTGGGCCTTTCAGAACTGGGATACGGCAGTAGCAGGTGAGTGTGCATGCCCGCATCCCCACTCGAGGGAGCAGTGAGTGAGCATATGTGTTCATGCTCCATTCACAAGAGTGGCAGGCACACATGCCCTCCCCTCACAAATGGAGTTGCACTCACGTGCTTGCCTGCCCCATGCACGGTACCATCCCCTCTTCCCCCCATCGCCTGCTGGTCCATAAAGCTGAAAAGATTAGGGAAAGATTAGGGAAAGATGGATGGCTTTCAGGACCCTTCAAACCAGCATTTGGGGCAGACCCATGAACTTGGAGCAAAGATCTTTAAAATTCTATGTTCCTTTTAAGAAGCTAAAGTTATTTTTCAGCCTACATCATCTGATATTACATCTTTCTGAAGTAAATTAGCACTTTTCTGACTATGTTTAAGGTATTATGGAAATTCATAGTTATTATTTTTGTTCCCCATTTGGTAGCCATTTTTGAAACAATCAGAAAAACAACTACAATATTAATTTTGAATAAAAGCGTTACTTCTATCAAGAATATATATTGAGTCAGAGTGGAGCGATAAGTTACAATGGTCATGAAATATCCTTATGCAGGATTATTAAATATTATTTATTCAAGCTGTTATACAAAAGCTCATATACTTACTTATTTCCCTAAACGTGTTTCTTTTTTTTGTCTTTTTCTTCCAGGTGTTTATCATAAATCTTTTGCGTGATAGCAAATATTTTCATTTTCGACCTGTAATGGACACTTATATTCAGAAGCACTTTGCAGGAGCCTTGGCATATAAGTAAGTCACCTCTTTATGGAGGCCAGTTTATTAAGTAAATGTTAATATCAACACAGTATTTGCTTGAGTTTTAATACATAATAAGTTCTCACAGAGAATAGTTTATAGAATCAGCATAGCAAAGGGTTAAAAACAGAGCAAAATCATACCAGTAGTCACTGAAAGTCCAGTGATTATCAAAACTGCTGCTAAACCATCATTTGTTTATTTAATTTATTGTAACATACATATATATACACACACACATACAAATATATACACACACTTACACTCATGCATATAAATAGATAGATGTAAGTATAGATATAAATATTGATATATTTCAGAAAAATCTTTCAGTTTGAGCTTCTCTCATATTAAAATGTCTCTCAATGTGGTTTTTTTTTAAAGAGAACTCATCCGCTGTTTGAAATGGTATATGGATCGATCAGCTGAACTAGTACGACAGGATCATATTCAAGAAGCAATGCGGGTATGGTTTCTATCTATGTGAAGATCTCAGTTTAAAAAATTAAGTATTTCTTTTCTAAGGGCAAAACTTAACTAGGAATGAAAATTACATAATATATTATTTAATGAATTGTTTTCAGTGATTTCCAGCAATATCAATATTTAGTGGTATTATTAAGAATTAAATTCTTACCTCCAAATATTGATTTAAGAAGGTGATACTTTGGAGCTTAAAAATGGGGTTACAAATCAGTTTCATTACGGTTGAATCAGTGGATTAATTTAAATCTGAGGAAAAACACTGGAATAAAAATGTACTCACTCATCAACAATGGAACTGGAGGGTTTGCTAAAAGGTGCAGTTTCTTCTCAAACATACAGATAACAGTTGGATTCCTCCATGTTATTTCTCATATGAGCTTAATATATTCATCATTAATATTAAGCAAAGATGATAATATTAATGTCCAAACTTTGAAAGCAAATTTAAAAAACAGAATAACAAAAACAGCAAAAAAAAAACCCACAAAAAAATCCCAGCACTATAGTGCTGTCCAGATCTTTTCAAGTTTTTCTTTAAAAAAACATTACCCCATCTTGTCTATTAGGTTTATCTTTTATATATATAAAAATCACATATTTGCTATCTTCTACCAAAGATAAAAAATACCAGGCCATAGTTTGCCAAATAACAATATATTTGTATGTTTTTCTTTTGCAAATACTTTGAATTGCAACTTTTGAAAATAGCTTTCTTGGAGGAGAATGCTAAATTTTGATTTTGTTGATTTTTAACTAAATAAATATGGATCTGCCCACCTCTCAGAGTTGCTTCAAACTGTGAGATGGGCAGCAAATAAGTTTAATAATAATATCCTTCACATAACAGATACTAATACAAATACTTGAATATTTGGCTATTCATAAACTCCTTGTTCTTTGTTTTTCTGATTCATCTCCCATTTTTTAAGGCATTGGAATATCTTTTCAAGTTTATTATTCAGTCTCGGATCCTTTACTCCAGAGCTACTTGTGGAATGGAGGAGGAACAATTTAGAATCAGCATCCAAGAACTTTTCCAGTCCATCAGATTTGTACTCAGCTTGGACAGTAGAAGCTCTGAGACTCTCATCTTCACACAGGTTATAAATATCTACAGTTTTATTTTGTGTGTTTCATTGTTGCCTTTGTAAATTAATAGAATTACTTGACAAGGTATCAAAACTGTTCAGAGGAAAATAACCAATTGATTAAGAAAATGCTAGCAAACCATAAAACAATCCTTCTGCAATCCTATCTGCTTTTCAGTTTTCTATTTATTTATTTTACTAGACTTACAGGCTGCTTCAATCATATGTGTCTTTGAGTGATAGAAATAGTAATGAAATTAAAATTTTAAAACGTAGTTATATTTCAATATAAATCACCAAGTTTCTGAGAAACAATCACAACCCATATTTACATTTACAATCAGGTATGACAAAAATTACCTCATGGCCTGTGAAAGCCAACTGAAACAATTTTACTTTTAGATCTCAAAGAACAGGCAGAGATTACTGGGAGAAGTTGGTTAGATCTCAAAGGACAGGCAGAGATTACTGGGAGAAGGTGGTTCCTAGATGCCCAATCCTGAACCATGAAGCACTTTAAAGGTGACAATCAAGGTCTTGGATTGCACCCAGAACAACACTGATAAGCAGTGTAGATCTCAAAGCAGATGTGTTCCTTGGGTAGACTGCTGGGCATTCAAAACTTGAGTTGCTTTATTGTGAAGCAGTTGAAATTTGTGGATAGTCTTCAATGCCCACCTTATGCAATAATTTAATAATTTAATTGAGAGGAAAGGGTTAAGTGACTATGAGCAAAGCCTACCAATGTAGGAAAGACTGTAATTGTTACACAAGATGAATCTCTGTAATAGTCCTTCTTACCACAGCTGCCATTAGCTCTTAAGGTGGAGCTCCAGATTATGAATTAACACTGAATGGGAAGTACACTGTCTCTTCCCAAAGACACATTTAGTACAATTCAATTTTATAAACATTTTCAAAAAATATTTTATTAGTAAAATAATAGTTGGTTCAGTAAAAAGTCCCAAGCAAGAGAGTTCTGCTAAGATATTCAATTGCTGCTCATTAAATAATATGAATTCCAGGCTTATTAATATGTCTAAGAAGAATCTAATACTGTTGCACATTTGTGAAAGAAAGAAATCTGAAGAATCTAGTAAAAATAATAGTTTGTTTTATTTTAAAAACCAAAATTTTGAGTGTTTTCTAACAATTAACTTTAAATTTTCACCTCTGACACAGTATTTGAGATTATATTCATTTAAAATCTATTTTTATGCGTCAAAAGTTTACCTTTTTTTGTTTCCCACTTGCCACTATGTTGTCCCTTAACCCTAATTGCCCCATAGGCCCCTCAGCCTGAAGGACAGGTGAGCGGAGCTGGGACATGTGCCCCACAAAAGTGTGGTGGCATTGCAAGGCCGTCATTTAAATCTGTAAGTAATTATCCCCATATCCTGTATAACTTTTAATCAACGAGTGTTTTTCCAATCCATTTTTTCTGCACAATATATTGCACACTTCAATGTTTGCAACAATAAAGTGATTTGCAAAACACTGAACGTTAAAATATAAGAGTTATTCTCTTGTTTGCATGAATCACTTTGAATATGAGCACCAGTCATTAGAGAGAAATTTTATCAGTCATGGTAAACATTTGGATTATCTCTGGTAATTCAAAGAATACATATTAATGATAATAAAAAGTTACAAAAATCTCATACAATAGAAGAATATTTAGTAATTCAAATATTGAGTTTGGGTTATGTCATATTATAAACAACTAAATATTCATGCAGCTGTAAAGCCAATAATGACAATATAATGAATTTTGGGCTTATTTTTAATCTCTTCCTGTTAAGATTTTTTTTCAAGAAAATAGCCAAGAGCATTGTGTTCTCTCTAATTACAGGTGTTTTGATATCACCACCTCTGTCGCTGGAAATAATAGCAGTATTTAATAATTGCTGAATATTTCCCTGACATGAAATTGACTTATCTTAAAAATAAAGAAATTAAAATAACAATGGTTGTTTAGTTCAGTATTTAATTATTATCTTTACTTATTTTGTCTATATTTCTTTGTATTGAGAACATTAATTCTAAAATACTCAGCGGAAATTAAATCATCTTTAATTTAACTACTGGTATAATTTATAAATAAAAAGAAATGAATAGCCAGAACAGAGGAAATAATAAACTGCTCTGGCTTGCCAGGTGTTAATGGAGGATATCTACAGACATACATGCACCAGATGTTATGACTATTGCATTATTACATTATTTGTGCAATGTTGTCATGAAACATTGACAACCATTTCGGCATAATTAAAGCTTATTGCAAATCTTACTGCTAGTACTGTTCACCATAGGGAGTTGTGTTACTTGTATCATATGGTATCATCTATCAAAAGATTTTCTGAGTGATGCAAGAGAATGAGTTGCTCACTTTTTCCATCATTAGGTTTGGAACAGGAAATGGGGTTGCAGCTAGGAAACAAAGAGCTAATTCTTATATTTTTGAATGCACAAAATAACTGTAATTGGGTGATAGGGAGGAGAAGATTCAGCTGGATTGGACAGGTCTGATATTGTTTCCATCTTCTAATGTACTACTGTTCTTTTTCCCTCTCACCAACATTGAAATAGAGCTCAGAAATGCCTTTGATTTGAGGCAATATTTTTCAAAAACTAATCACTGTAAAGAAAAGTCAGAAATTATTATGAAAGGAAGGAAAAAGGGAGGACACTTTTGGAAAGTTAATATTTACTTCTAAAGCTCTCGCCATACTTGCCTCTCCCTAATGCAGTTAAGACAAACTGTAGCATGTCATTTAGTGGGAAATTTTTTTGGGGGAGTGACTCACCTGATTGAGTTGGGCGGCTGTAGAATTTGAATGAATGAATGAATGAATGACTAATACATATTATATCTACCTGGGTGGCATTATACTGTATATAAAGTTCATAGGAGTGGATGGATGAAAATATAAATGCCATATATTTTATTTATTTTATTAAATGTATTGACTGTCCATCTTACCACAAGGTACATGCATGCCTGCATGTGACACAGAATGTGGGATGTCTTGCTCATTGTTAATTTGCCTTTGGCACTTGGTGATTTGTCCTTCCACGGATGATACACAGTTTGTGTCAATTTTCCAATAAGACAATGTGCTCTTTGGGCTGATAAAAAAATCTTATCCAACACTAAAATAAGTCTTCTAGTAAGTGGGTTTGTAATATGGTGGAAGCTACTGCTCTAAGAGACAGGAATTATTTTTCTGCAGATTCTCCTTGCAACAACCAAAATTGCTTTAGGGTGTCCTCTCACTTTATAGCAGATTTACAATGGGCTGCAGAAAAAGAGAATGAATAATTGAAAATATGATTGCTATGACTCCAGGAACATCCTGTAAATTAAGATTTGCTGATGGGTACTTAAGATTTAAACGTTTATTTTATCATATTCTGGAAGCCTTTATCAATTTTATATAAGAACAAATGAGCATAAAGCTGTTGAGAAATGCACATTGTCATATTTCAAAGCCCGCTATTTCTGTGATTTTCCGTATATAGTGCATAATTATTGCTTTCTTAAACTAAAATAAAATGCCATGTCATAATGTTGCAAGTGTAACAATACAAACAAGCAGTATATATTTCTAAAAGCAGGTTCTTTGTGTGTGTGTGTGTGTGTACACACATACATACACACAAAGAGAGAGAGACCTGTTTCATTCCTTTTTCAAAATCTTCATATTAGCAGAAAACTTTTTGAAGTATGTATGTTAGTTTGAAGGGGGCAATGTGATGACTCATGGTTAAGGTGCTGGGCTTGTCAGCTGGAAAGCTGGCAGCCCAGGTTTTGAGACCTGAGTGTCACGCAGGATGAGCTCCTATCCTCTCCCTGGCTTCTGCCAACCTAACGGTTCAAAAGCATGCAAATGTGAATATACAAGTAGGAACCACTTCATTGGGAAGATAACAGTGCTCTGTGACAACATGCTGGCCACATGACCACAGAAATGTCTTTGAGGAGCACTGTCTCCATAGCTTTGAAACAGAAATGAGCACTGTCTTCTATAGTCAGCAACAACTAGCAGAGTAAAATCCGCAGAGGCTCCTTTGTCTTCGACAAAGTTGATTTGGAGATGATCGCAGTACTTACACATTTCTACTTTCATGAAGCATGTGCTTCAGTATCTATAAGATGTTGTAGTTTAGGCTTCCTTTGTATTAATAACTCAGGTTACAATGCCATAGTTTCCAAGATCTCTTTCTGATAAAAACATGAATCTTTAAAAACAATTACTACCAACCTCTCTTCCACTGAGGACCTGTATACTGCATGAGTCAAAAAAAGAGCTGTGAAAATATTTGCAGATCCCTCACATCCTGAACATAAACTGTTTCAACTCCTTCCCTCAAAACGATTTTATAGAGCACTGCACACCAGAACAACCAAACACAAGGACAGTTTTTTCCCAAATGTCACCACTCTGCTAAACAAATAATTCCCTCAACACTGTTCAACTATTTACAAAGTCTGCACCATTATTACTGTTAACCTTCTTATCACTCCTTATCGACCATCCCCTTCCACTGTATGACTGTAACTTTGTCTCTTGTATCCTTACGTTCTATATTGACTGTTTCCTAATAAGATTTGATTGCTTATTGTACCCTATGACTATTATTAAGTGTTGTACCTTATGATTCTTGACTCTTGATGAATGTATCTTCTTTTCTTTTATGTATGCTGAGAGTATTTGCACTAAGACAAATTCCTTTTGTGTCCAATCACACTTGGCCAATAAAGAATTCTATTCTATTCTATTCTATTCTATTCTATTCTATTCTATTCTATTCTATTCTAAAAAGGGATTTCCTGCCTTTTATTTTTTTATATATAATTTCCATTTTCTTTTTAGGCTGCTCTATTGAATTCTTTCCCTGCAATTTTTGATGAGCTACTGCAGATGTTCACAGTACAGGAAGTAGCAGAGTTTGTGAGAGGAACTCTTGGGAGCATGCCCAGTACAGTGCATATTGGACAATCTATGGATGTGGTTAAATTGCAGTCTATAGCTCGTACAGTGGACAGTCGCTTATTTTCTTTCTCAGGTAACAGTTATAATATTAATCATTATAATATATCTCTTTGCATACCCAATATGAACAGAATTTGTTTTATGCCATTTTAGGAATATATTATCCCTAAAATAGCGTAAAGCATATTTTTTGAAAGTTGATTAATGTACAAAAATTATACTGCATGGTGTTTCTAAGCAGCCATAGCTTCTTCCAGAATATTACACTCCCTCTTTTTCTGTTTTCTTTGAACTTTGCATATTGTGGTTTGTGCCTTGAACTGTTTCACCTGCTTTTGCTTTGTTTTTTTTTTTATGTACATGGGGAGAAGATTGTCCTATAATTTTTGAATTTCTCTCATTCACCAATATTTTTCTTTTCTTTTTTCAATGGGTGTATTTTGGTCAGTATCTGAGTTTATTAATAAATGGAGAGATTAGGAGATTAAGAAATGAACTAATAAGTATTTTTTAAATGTCAGTGCCCATTCTATACATAGGTATTGCATGGGGATATTGCATTCTCTTTAAATATTTTTAATTTTTTTCACCTATAATTTAAAAGAAAAAATGGATCCTGAAAACCTTATTTATGTCTATATTAATATTCTTGTATGGCTGTAACACACCAAAGTAAAGCCATTTTTCGTCATAGCTTTTACACTAATATCTATGGTTCTGTACTTAGAATAACCAGTTTTAGAAATACTTGAGATTTAGTTAGAGAACTGATGCCCATGTTTTTTTTAATAAAGTGGTGGGCGTGTCTTATTCAGTTTATTTATTTAAAAGATTCATAAGGACCTCCCATCTTAAGAACTCCACTCTGGGGCGCTCACTACAGTGGGGGAAAAAACTGGCACTTCAATCATCCTCCTTGGATGCATCCAAAAGAACCATCCACATGTTCCTATTTCATTCTGTTATGGCATTTTGGGGAAGTGGTAGCTTTTTATGACCTTCCAAAACACTAAAGTAATAGAGGCCTACTGGATCTAGGGAGAAGGGTATTCTACAGCGCACAAGCTGCTATGAAAAAGCCATGCTTTCTGGTCCCCTAAGATGACAGTATAAAAGGATAGGACCCGTACCATGCTTACTGTATCCATCCCAGTGGAGAACGGTCCCTGGCCCCATGACAAATAGGACTTTAAAGGAAATTAAGCCAGCACAGCTTGCACAACAGTAGTGCAATATGAGTTCCAAACACTTCATGTGCTGTTGTATTCTGGATCAGTTGTAACTTCTCAGTAATCTTCAAAGACAGCTCTGTTGCAATAGTCCAACCAGGAAGTCCTCAAGTGACTATAAACAAGGCCTCCCTGTCCAGGAATAGGTGCAATTGGTGCACAAATCTACCATTTCCTTTGAACCTAGTGAACTGTTAGAATCAAAAAAAGGGACACTGATCACATGCATGTCTTACTTTCAGAATAATTTAAAAAATAATAAAGACAAAGGCAGTAAAAACATTGTATGAATTCATTTAGGTTAATAACCAATATATTCACAGTAATAAATATCCAAGTAACTGATATTATCTTGAAGGAGAACATACATATGAATGTTAGTGTCTCACAGTATTTTATGGTTCATGTGAATATCAATGGTTAGAGATTTCATGTTACTTAGATACTTCCCTTTCCTTCACTTTTGGTAGTCTGTATCTCTGTTGCTTGTTGTAATAATATCTCTTATGAAGTTGATAATATTGTAGATTCATGACTTGACAATTTAGCTTCTGTGGGAAGCAATATTAATTAAACAGTGAAGGAAAATAAGGCTTCCAGTGAAGATAATTTATGCATTTTATTTACTATACTGCAAATGAACCTTTTGTAAATTAGCTATTCAGAATTAGCACTTGAATGAATAAAAATGGTTTTCCCTTAGAAATCTGTTTCATAGAGGCCTCCAATTAAACTGTTGTACTATTTTTTAAAAGGCCAATTAAATTAATTTTATTTGTTGTTCATGGTAGCTCTTCGGTTTCTATATATATGCTTGTGAATTAAAATGAGGCAGGCTTCTCATTCAAGTATTTTGAGTTCTCCTGTAAAATAATGCCAAGCCTCTGGTTTCCCATTCCTAGAATCTCGGCGAATCTTATTACCTGTGGTCCTTCATCATATTCATCTTCATCTGAGACAACAAAAAGAGTTGCTTATCTGCTCTGGAATTCTTAGCAGTATCTTCTCTATCATCAAAACTAGCTCCGTGGTAATCTATGTCTATCATTCTGTCTTTCTGTCATCTATCTATCTATCTATCTATCTATCTATCTATCTATCTATCTATCTA